ATACAGTGTATGGGTAATAACTATTAACTACTAATGTCGATTGTCGCATTTCCGCCACTAACGTTTAAACAACTAAGTAGATATACATTTATTATAAAAGGTAACTATTATTTATTAAAATGAGTGTTCAGGATATAACTAGTGTGAATCTGGATTCAACATCCCATCCACAATCCCACAGTAAATTTGGTGACGGTTTTGAAATCATCACTAATAAAAATCAGATATTCGGCAAGTGTAAATTGTGCGAAAGAAATAAAAAGACAATTCATATTCAAATGAAGAATAGAAACACTTCGGGCTAAAAAAAAACATTTGATTTCTGCACATAGGAAAGAGGCACAAATACTTTTTCCGATAAAGCAATCGTCAAAAAATGCAATTGACAAGTTCTTTAAGGGTCCGACTTCTGAACTACAGGTATGTACAATAATGATTGATTAAATATTAGGATTGAGCCCATATTATTAATTAACAAACCTTAAAGCATAAACATTCGTTTTTTATAAAATTACAATTTTGGGCTACCACATTCTATTATAATGCTATATATATACTATACTATTAACTATTATAATACCTAGGTATTATAGGTAGGTACACAACAGTAAATTATATTTCTTCAAATTTAAAAATACAAAATATTATACATGTTCTAAATATGGTTTTATAAAGTTAAATAATAGTATTCCTATGGGCTATGATTATTATTATCATTTGTTATATTGTGTATTTGTTTGTGGTGTTACATTGTTAATCATAAATCATTACTCTTGTAATTTTGGTTTAATTGTTTGAATAATAAAATTAAACTGTATGATTTAAATTTGAATAAACAATATATAATATAATATAGGTAGGTAGTAGGTACATTACATTTTGGAAAAATATGCATTAATAAAATTGGTGTGGGAGAGGGGGATTAGCCTCATAAAATGTTTGTACCCTATTATTATACAAACCTGAAATGCCCCTTGAATTAAAAGTGTATAATAATATAATAATAATAATTACTAAATTACTTAATACAAATAAAGTACCTGCCTAATAAATAAGATTATAATATGCCATAATATGTACTTGTATTTAAGCTATAATAGTGTATAACTAACGTACTTTACCTACTTACCTATATATCACTAAACTACTAAAGGCTATATAAGATGTGCATAGTATATATTTTAAAATGCATTGTATATTGTTTATATTTAAGTGATAGGTACATCGTACATAACATTATAACTAACTATATACTATAATTTATTGATTATTAGTAAGTGAAAGTAGGTAGACGGTACTGATTGATGTTAAAATAAATTTAATTTGACTATTATTCTGGTATAGATGAGATTTATTATTCTAAAACCAGATAATTTTTCTACTAAGCTTTATGTAATTAAATAATTGTTTAAAATTACTATTTTCATGATTCAGCAGGTATTTTATTTGTACTAAATAATTTAGTAATTGTTATTATTATATTATTATGCACTATTAATTCAAGGGTCATTTCGGGTTTGTATAATAGGGTATAAATATTTTTTGTATATAATATATTATACTGATTTAATAAAATAAAATACATTTGTATTACTTACATATTTTTATCTGTGCTTTTATTTGATTTAAAATATAATGTAAATGTGTTTTATATTATAATTTATCATTATCGTGTTATGATTTTCTTTAACTATTTTAATAATGCATCATCATTTGTATATCTAGTAAAACATAATTCCATATCACAATTGAAAAGAGGATATGGATAGTGTAGTAAACCGACGGAGTCGCTTTCCTATATATTAAATATTATAAATACATTTCTCACGATGTAGCAGCTAGACAACAACAAGACTATAAATGCACTCAATATTCGCATGGCCAAATAATGCGAAAACATAAACATTACATTGTTAATAGTTTCACGCAAAACATGACTATAAATGCACTCAATCTTCGCAGGGCCAAAATAATGCGAAAACATTAACATTAAATTGTTAATAGTTTACGCAGAAACCTTTTGCCAATAACAACACCTAGCGCCGGCTTCTTTCAAATATCCATCTCCTAGACTCTACCGTGTACGTTATATCCGCATAGATTTCATATAAATATAAGATGATGTCTATAGCAAAATTAGAATTAGTTTAGAGTTTACACTACGTACATACTGTACGTCACTAACTTCTCGGGCAGATGCTTTTCGCTCTATCCTCAAATTTATCTTACACTTAATTGTGATTAATTACTTTTTAAACGTTAATAAAATTACTTATACCTAACTTGTGTAACTTGTCACTCTGCAACCTTTACTCCTATTCAACCGTCAACGTCTTTGAACTCAAAATATAAGCGTTAGTGAGGGATCACTACACGTTTTTGGTGTCAAGTGTGGGGTCATCTGAAGGAAGTTTTCCAGCAACCAACCTGGATCTAAGTACATCAGCGGACCTCGAGTTCATCCACGTTGCTGATACATAGGAAGGAAGGGAGCCAAGCCACCAACTTCAAACAACATTTCAACTTTCACTCAACACAAGTCAGCAGGGCCGTCAGCACGCAAGCAGTCAGGACCAGACAAAAATCGCAACGAGTAACGCATTGTAAGTTGTTATTTTTAACAAGCAATTATATAGTATATGTCTGAGAGTCCAAAGTGTTGGGCAGTAGTTAAATATAACCAGCAAACTTTACAAACGACAGTCATGAGCGTAACATTAGGAATTGACGCCGCCTTGCGCGGCATACCTAACTTTAGCGGGGGTACCGAGGTAGAACTAGCCTCATATATAACAGAATGTAACTATGTAATGGAAAATATCCATGAAAATCTTGTAACCGTAGTATTTCGCAATATACTATCCAAACTGAAGGGAGATGCCTACCAAGCTACGCGTTACCGAAATTTTTCAAACTGGTAAGAACTCAAAAACCACCTTAGAAACGTTTTTGGGGCACCACATTCAATTAACTATTTGCAATCACAACTTAGTAACATTAGGCAACGATCCGACAGAGGACGTTCGTAGTTTTGCTGGGCGAACTGAAAAATACTATCATGAATTAGTAGGAGCATTAACACTAGGACTAGAGCCAGCATCAGCCTCAGCGGTAGCCACATCACATAAAATGGGGGCGCTTACTGCATTTGTTAACGGGGCAAACCCCGAAATTAGGTCATTTTTACGAGCACGTGACGTATCTTCGCTCGAAAAAGCCATTACAATCGCGATCGAGGAGGAACAGGACCTTCAACATATTAATAGACGTTTTAACACGGGAAATAATTACGGAAAAAATAAAGCGAATAAAAATAATATTAAATGTAATAAATGTAACTTGATGGGCCACTATGCGAATGAGTGCCGCAGTAACGCCGGTACCTCATACAGCACAAATTTTAGGAATCCCATTAACAGTCGCGATGACAAAACCAGTATAGTAAAGCGCGAATATCAGGGTCAAGTTCGATTCTGTAAAAAAACAAACCACAATATAAAAGATTGTAGGAAACGTATTTATAACGAAAGTAAAAAAACGAATAATAAGGAAGGTGAAAGTTCTAGCACCAGCCGCACAGTAAATGAAATTAGCCAAAATCATGTAAGAGTTGTAGCCAATTTCGAGGAGGAACATATAATATGTGCATCAGATAATTTCAAACCTCGTAAAATTAAATTATTAGTCGACTCCGGCGCGGAAATGAACCTAATTAAAATAACCGCGTTAGAAGGACATGTCGTTGTAAACGAATCCGCGAAACGCACAATAAAAGGCATTAATGAAATTACTATATTTACCATAGGTACAATACTAACCAGTATGCAAATTAACGATATAGAGGTGCTCATAAAATTCGACGTCGATGAAACCGTTTTCGGCGATTTCCCAATAAACGAGTCAGGCATCATCGGTCGTAACTTCTTAAAACAAAACAAGGTCATAATGGACTATAGTCAAAATTTACTAACGATACCTGAAAAAACTGGTTTTAAAGAAATTATACTACCACCGCGTAGCAATTGTGTATTACTTATAAAAAACGACGAAAATATAAGTCACGAGAATATTACTATAAAAAAACAGGACGTAAACGAAAACGTAATAATCGAGAACAGTATAAGTCCGGTCAATAAAAATAACATTATTAGTAACGTAATAAATATTTCGGAAGAACCTTTTGTAATAGACGAGCTTACCATACAACATATCGAGTGGGAGCCGTATAACGAAAACGTATTAACTGCATCTTTTGTAGATGCCGAACCAAGCAATCGTATAGGTAACGCAAATCAAACGTGAGATTAAGACCGACGATTTAAATAAAGAGGAACGCGAAAGGATTCTCGAACTCTGTTGTAATTACGCGGACCTGTTTTACCTACCGGGCGACTACTTGAGTGCCACAGAAATCGGGACACACACAATAAACACACCACTCAAATAGGTTTTGTCTTCAAATTGACGAATCCACTGACACAAGTGGTAAATGTTATTTAATTGGGTTTATTCGTTTTATTAATAATGATAATATTATAGAACAATTTTTTTGTTGCAAAGAAATGAAAGAAACGACAACTGAAGGGCTTGCTACAACAACCAGATAAATCCACTTTTTTTGGAATATCACTTTTTGACGGAAATTAATAAAGGAAAATTTTCTTTAAAAACAGATGCAACAATCAGATAAATCCGATCATTGACAAAGAAGTTATTATAGAAACGGATTTATCTTGTTTTACAAAACACATGCAACAATCAGATAAATCCGGATTTATCTTGTTGTTGCGTTTATATGGGCACACTGTAATTCGCACGTTTTTTTGATATCACTTATCAGTTATCACTTATACAAAATATCGTTTATATTACTTTTAGTTTCGAAAGTTTCGTTTAAAATGTTCATCTTTATTAATTTGTTACTTGTTCACTGTTAATAACGTTTCGTTTAGTTCTTACTGCTTATACCTTTTTAACTGTTAACGTTTTTGTATTTTATAATGAATGACGATGATATTATAACCGACGCTTTAAATGATTCATTTGAATACTCCGATGAAGATGACGATTTCCTTGATCCAGATTTTTCTCTAGGTGAGAATGTAAATGATGATTTGCTTGTGGGAATATTTCCACTATTAAGTGATTCCGAAAATGATGAAGATGTAGATGGCAATATAGAGATCAATGAAGGTAATAAGGAAAATAATAATTTAGAAGCAGTAGATTACAGTATAGAGAACACTGAAAATAATAGGGAAAATAATAATTTAGAACAGTGGCGTGGCGTGGGTATTAAAAGGATGTAAGCAGTGAAAATTTTGTTTCAAAAGTGATTAGAATATAGGTACTATACTTAAATACCTAATTATAAATTATGTATAAAAAATGTTATCCTTTTAACATTTTTAATATTTTTAAAAATATACTAGTTGTACAAATCAAATTCGAGAAAATAAATAAATTGAAGTATAAATACTTCAAAAGTCTATTAGGCGAATGACAGTGACAGTGTAGTGTGTACGTAAAAACGACTACAGTCTACAACGCGTCGGGCTACGTACTGCCGCGCGTGCCGTACTGGTCCGTGGTCGCTCCTTGTTTCTCGCGTAAGCAAAATCAAATGTGCTTACAAACGCTAGTTAAATACGTGACCCCCACTATGGCATTATAGACTATTCGAAAACAACAGTTGCGCGTAAGCAATTTCAGAATGTGTTACACTGTATATCGTATTATGATTATGCAGTTAACATAATACAGAATGGATTAAAAATAGACCTACAATCGATGATTTTCTTAAAATAGTTGGTAATCAGTAGACAGCGTACGACACATATAAACAATAACAAAAACCACTACCAGCTATAACTTAAATATTTTATAAATAAAATTAAAATTTTAAAAATCATTTATTATGTACCTATTAGTCGTGATTGATTAAATTAATTTTTTCTTTCATTTAAAGTGTAAGCAGTGCTTACAGTGCTTACATGCACGCTACGCCCCTGATTTAGAAGCAGTAGATAACAACATAGAGAACAGTGAAGGTAATAGGGAAAATAATAATTTAGATGCAGTAGAGGACAATACAGAGAACAATGAACAAGAAAGTTATATTAGAAAGGGCAAAAAAAGGTCAAGTAATCCACTGATATGGAAAAGAAATGTTACAAATCTTTTTTTGGTATTGGCAAAGCAGTAGTTGAAAGGGTTTTTACTAAGTTAAGACAAAATATCCCTAGCCCAAAAGATTTGCGTGGAAAACATACAGTACGTCCTAATAAATTACCTGATAATATTTTATTTCAATTATCGGCACATATTCAGAGCTTCCCCAAGTGTATTTCACACTACAGCAGACAAGATAACAATGAAAAACGTTATTTATCTGCTGAGCTTAGTGTACACAAAATGTATGAAATGTATATTGAAAAATATGAACCTGACATTTATGAGATATTAATAAATGGAAGAAAAGCCAAACCTATTGTAAAATATCCATATTTTCTCAAATATTTTAACAATAATTTTAATTTGTCGTTTGGCAATCCAAAATCAGATACTTGCCAAACATGTGATCGACTAGACAATTTTATTAATGCTGAATTAAATACAGACATTAAATTATCTTTGATTGAAGAAAAACAAATTCACCAAAAAAAAGCAGAATTATTTTATGCTGATCTAAAAAGATTATCTCTAGAGTCTAAGGAAAATACTGATTTAGAAGTTTTATCGTTTGACTTCCAACAAAACCTGCCTTTACCACATGTACCATGTGGTGATGTGTTTTATAAAAGGCAAATTTGGTCATACAATTTTTGCATTCACTCAGCAAAAACAAACCAAGCTTACTTTTTTATGTATGATGAGTCAGTTGCAAAAAAAGGCCAGAATGAGGTTATAAGTTTTCTCCATTATTATTTACAAAACTTACTTCAACAAGGAGTAAAGACATTATACCTTTTCGCAGATAACTGTAGTTCACAAAACAAGAATAATGCTTTATTTCAATATATCTACACTATTATAAAATCAAATGCATTTGGATTAAATACAATCATTCAAAGGTATCCTGAGCCAGGGCACAGTTTCCTGCCATGTGACCGCTGCTTTGGTTTGATTGAGCAGAAAAAGAGAAAAATTGAACGTGTATTTTTACCAATAACTTATCAAGAACTGGTCAAACAAACAAACATCAAAAAATTTCATGTGATTAATGTTAATCAAAATTTTATATACAATTTTTCAGATTACTTAAAACCATTTTTTAAAAAATATATTACTAGTACAAACAAAGTCAAGTTCACAATAATGGCTTATCGCTGTATTGAATATACTAAAGAGGGTTTGTTATGTAGTGTTATTCCCAATTCAACTGCCAAAGAGCATTATACAATAGAAAAATCTGGATCCTTATTGAAATTTCCCATGGAAAACCTCCCATTATTGTATCAAGGAAAACTTAGTATTAAAGCTGCAAAACTAAAAGATGTCCTTGAATTGGCTGCAAAATATGTTCCCCCTCAACATTTATGGTTTTATGAACAGTTTGTAGAAACCAATGATGATACAGTTTTATCAGACTATGAATACTAAACAATTAAACTTAATATTTTTAATTTTATATCAAATACCTAACAGCAATAATTTTGACTTCAAAATAGTATTATAGGTTTTTATTATTACTATATTATAATATGTGTTAATAATACTTTTTACCAAAGTTAGGTATACCAAAGTATTGTATTTCAGTTTATACTGTTATATAAACTATATTGATATGTCATTACTTTTTAAGGTATTTAAATAAGAAAGGAAGATGTCTTATTATTTTATTACTATATTTTTTTGTTTTTATTTGTGTAAAATTAACATTGTTATTGTTATTTAGAGGAAACATATTATTATTTTTTTTTGTGATAACGCAATACATTTTACCTAAGTTAGGTACTTATACCAAAGTATTATATTTTAATTTATACTGTTCTATATACTATTGCCATGTGATTAATTTTTAATTAATTTAATTAAGAAAGGAAGATATCTTATTATTTTATTACTATATTTTTTTTGTTTTTTATTTGTATTTAGAGGAAACATATTATTATTTTTGTGATAACACAATACATTTTACCAAAGTTAGGTATACTAAAATATTGTATTTCATTTTATACTATTATATAAACTATATTGAAATGTTATTAATAAAATTGTTAAGGTATTTAAATAAGAAAGAAAAGTACCTTATTATTTTATTGCTATATTTTTTTGTTATTATTTGTATGAAATAAATATTTTTTATTGTTATTTATTGTTATCACTACTTGAGTATTATATTATATAAGGAAGGTAATATATCAATAATAAATTAAGAAATAAATTATTAAAGTGCTAATTTAAGACATAATTTACGAAACAATAATAATAGGTTTTATGCATAAAATGTTTTTATACAAAATGTTATGTCAGATATGTCCTACTATTCCTTATTTGAAGGCTTAATATGATGATTAATAATTATAAATAAGAATAACATTGAAAATGCTACTGATATTGGATATATAAATAAATTAATTAAGTAATAATATAAAAACTAATACACTTAAGCGCAACAACCAGATAAATCCATGCTCCCCTCCACTTTGGCAAACAAATAATACCCCTAATTTTTTTTTTTTTTTTGTTCAAAGTTTAAAATATTGTGAATAATTATACAAAGAATAATAAACAAACTAAAATAAAATTATTTTTAACAAGTATTTAGCCTAAAAAAAGAATTTTCTTTGCCCTGGAAAATTTCAAAAAGTGGATTTATCTGGTTGTTGCAGCAATCCCTTGTTATGGCAAGTTACTGGTTACCAGTTACTGGTCTTGATGCGTTTAATATTATTGATTCTTATCTTAACATTTTAAATTTATCTTGGGATTATTGTTACGGTATTTGCACTGGTGGCGCTCCTAGTATGATTGGTTATTAGTATTTATCTGTGCTTTTATTTGATTTAAAATATAATTTAAATGTGTTTTATATTATAGTTTATTGTGTTATGATTTTCCTTAACTATTTTAATAATGCATCATCATTTGTATATCTAGTAAAACATAATTCCATATCACAATTGAAAAGAGGATATGGATAGTGTAGTAAACCGACAGAGTCGCTTTCCTATATATTAAATATTATAAATACATTTCTCACGATGTAGCAGCTAGACAACAACAAGACTATAAATGCACTCAATATTCGCATGGCCAAAAAATGCGAAAACATAAACATTACATTGTTAATAGTTTCACGCAAAACATGACTATAAATGCACTCAATCTTCGCAGGGCCAGAATAATGCGAAAACATTAACATTAAATTGTTAATAGTTTACGCAGAAACCTTTTGCCAATATTAACACCTAGCTTCGGCTTCGTTTAATATGTTAAACAAAATTTATTTAGAACTAAGAAACATGATATTTTGACTGTAGAATAAAACAAAAAAGCTTTAAGTGTTTATGATGATAAAAGATTTATTTTGGAAAATGGTATTGATACATTAGCTTGGAGACATTATAAAACAAATATAGATAGAAATGAGTTTGTAAAACATCTCAATACACAAATTAGAAATCAAAATCAAAAATATTTTTAATAGAACAATGCTAAAAACATATATTTACTAATATAAATAATAGAAATGGAAAATTGTAAAAAACTTTTAGATATGATCCAAGGGTATAAATATATATTAAAAGAGTTATCAGAAATTTAATCATCTATGAATAGTCTAGAATTTCATGTATCACATTTATATCAATCTTATGATGATAATGAGTTACAAAAAAAATTTTAAGAAATGAATTGATTATTTTAAGGAATTTCATAATGAATTATCAGAGCATATAATGAGTCATTGGATTGATGACTAATTTTTTTAATGTTCAATAGTTTTATGTTAGATTTTTTTAATAGAACAATTCTATTAAAAATATAAATTAATATGTCTAACTACAAATACTATATTATACTTTAATTTTAATTGTTAATATTATTTTTAGGAAATATGACAGTTCAATTTGTAATTATTAATAATATAAGTTTCATGAAAAGTATTTTTAATTATTATTGCATTTCGATTTTAATTATTAATAATTAAGTTTTGCGGAAAATATTTTAATTATTATTGCATTTCGATTTTCTGATCTTTTTGCACTTTGTTTTCTTTGTGATCCTTTACTGATATTAAATGAGGTGTGCCAGGAATGGTAATCTATACTACTTACATATTTTAATTCAAAATAAATAAAAGGTTAAAGATTTGGAGACAGCTAAAACAGCTACAATTCAAAAGTAGAAATATGACTTAAATCCTGGTGACTGCTTTGGGATTTGGCTTAACACACAAATGAAATAGAAAAAATTAAATACTTCATTGTCAAAAAAATTGCTCACAAACATAAACTATCGATAAGACAGTATTTTTCATAATCCGGTGTTTGTATCTGGTATAGTAATATTTAATTTGATTTATAGTTTATATTTTTACTTTTATATTGTGTTTAATAACTAATATGTTTTTAATTTTCACAAAATTAATTTTCTGTTGCATTATATCTTGATCTTCGCTACCAACATTTGATGTCAGAAGAATCTAAATCAAGAGCAGTAGCTCATTTAATTAAAACATGGGAGTTGTTGAATCATTGAAAAAATTGTGTCCCAACCTCTACAGTTAAAACAGAGCATAACAGTTGTAACTCTAATACATATAGGTAAAAAAAGAATAGGTGATGACATAGATGATGAATTTCAGGATTTTTTGGACTCTCTTTCAAATTCACAGGAATTCCCAGAATCAATTTCTTTCACAACAAACAAAATTTATAGTAGAGCTACTCCCATTAGAACTATTCCTAATTCTTTTGAAAATTCAACCAAAATGCCATATAGTGAAAATATAATTACTCTTTGGTAAAATAAATAAAAATGAAATGCCAAAGCTATATCAGCTTTCAAAAATATTAATGGCAGTAGTTACCAACCACCCAGGTAGTAAGATGTTATTTTGTATAAAGTATAAACTGTATTAACTTAATAAAACTGTTACTTGCTATAGGTGTCTGTAGAAAGATGGTTTTCATCATTATAGTTTATTTTGAATGATTTAAGGTCAAACTTAGAGGTAAATGTACTTGAACAATTAATGATACTACGATCAAATCTATTAATTTAGTAAAATACTAAAAATAAAAATTTAATTTACTTAAAATTTATGCATAATAGTATAATACCTATAACATTATAAAATATAAACATAATATTAGTTATGAAAAGTAGAATGTTATTTTCTTGTGTTGTTATAATCAATATACAATTTTGATATAGTTAAAGATTTAAGTAGGTACATATTTAACATTTAATATATTGTCAAATATTATGTTATATATTATATTTATTTATTTATTTATTTAGCATACAATACGGGCATGAGCCCAATTTCATATAATATAATATAACAAATTACAATAATGTGACAACAGTGAAATATAAAGATACATAAATACTTGGGTATAGGTTATGACTATTATTATGGCTATTTATATAATATGTATTATATTTTTAATATATTTTATAGTTTATAAAGGTTATGGTTTTATAATTGTATTTTAATGAAACTTAAAAGTTAAAAGTAATAAAACTAGCAAAGCTTAAGTAACACATTACAATTGTATTATGTCTTGATGAAATTTCCAGTCTAATTGTTATTGATTAGTAAATAATAAGTTTAAGGCTATTTAAGACTTAGTTATAACTTATAAGGCTTAAGGTTTTTCTTGATATTTTAAATTCTTTGTATCTAGATGAAAAAGTTATGTAAAATCATTATTTAAGTATGAACCCAAATGAAAAGGTATTGTATTAAAAATACTTAATTTTTTTTATTTTAAAAACCTATATATGAATGATTAACCGGACCAAAATATTAGAAGTAGAAAACCGGTTTTAAAAACCAAAACCAAAACCACCAAATTGTTTTTGGTTTCCGTCCTTGCTATAGGAATCTTGAAACCACTTTAAACTCTCTAATCAAATTTTTACTTTCAATAAGCCTACATTATTTCTTACAATTAAACCTTGAACTAAACTATTTAAAGAGTTATAGATATTAAATTTAAAATCATTATACACAAAAAACATTTGTATGCTATTTTATAATATGAAAACATCCATTTATGTTCCATGTCACATCTACAATACTCCCTTTAAGCTTAATACTAATATCATTGACATTAAAATGAATACTGTATTTGGCAAAAATCCCTAAATATAAGTTTATTCAATTTTGTATTTATTTTAATTTCAATATTCATAATTTCGGTAGTTTTATAATGTATAAAAAATATATAACCAATGTTTTGTGTCAATAACGGTTATGTTCTGTTTCTTTCCTCTTTACTTATACATACTTAAATTCAAATAGAAATTCATAATATTGTATAAAAATATATAAACAATGTATTGTTTCAATAACTGTTATTTTTATTTATTTATTTATGTTGTATATCAACGGGTATATACCCTTTTACAAATTATATAAAGGAAACATATTAGATAAAAACTAAAAACTAAGTAAGTGTAGTAACACCTAACAAATACAGATAAAAATAATATAAAATTAATTCTGAATTAAAAGTAATAAAAATATAAAATTATAATTACATTATAAACATTTTTTTTTTTTTTTTATATTAATCAATCAATATTTTTTAATAATAACATAGATTTAGATTTAAAACAATTGCGTGAGAGAAAAAATATATCTAAATGTATACAAATTTTATTAGCTAAAATTAAAGCTCGAGAGAAAAAAGAATTGGTACCACTATTCGTTTTATAATGAGGAACTAAAAATAAATCTGAACTACGTGTAATTAGATGTGGAATTCGAAAACTGATTTCAGACAACAATTCGGGACACATGATATTGTAATTAATAAGATCATAGACAAACATAATATCAGTTAATTTCCGTCTAAGTGAAAGAGAAACAAGGCCAATATAATCTTGAGTTAGATGGAGAGAGTCCCTAGATAATGGAATATTCGATAAGTATGAAATCCTTTTTAAAAATTTATATTGTACATTGTCTAAATCATTTATATATGTCAAGTATTTGCATGACCAGATTACGGAGCCGAAATCAAGATTGGATCTAACTAAAGATGTATACAAGGTTTTTAAGCATAACGGATTTTTGAAATCTTTAGTATTTCTATTAATAAAGCCTAACATCTTAAATGATTTATTAATTATCATTTTATGGTTCGTTTTAAAAGAAAGATCACTTTCAAAATAAATACCAAGATCTTTGATTACATTTACTCTAGTGAGAGAAAACATTTCAATATTATAGTTAAACAAGATGGGATTTTTTTTACGTGTAAATGTTATCGTATGACATTTATCAATATTTAACGGTAATAAATTTAATTTACTCCATAATTGAAATTTATTAAGATTATACTGAAGAGATTCAGCATCACTTAAAGAATTTATTGTACAGAAAATCTTCGCATCATCCGCAAATAATAAAATGTTTATAGAACAATCAAGGACTAGTGGGAGATCATTAATAAAAATTAAAAATAGTAAAGGTTCTAAATGGCTGCCCTGAGGAACACCTGATAAGACAGGATAATCATCAGAAACATAAGACATAATTTTAACTACTTGAGTACGATCAGAAAGATACGAAAATAACCATTGTAAAATGTTCCCACCTATACCAATATTTTTTAATTTATGATATAGTAAATTATGATTCACCTTATCAAACGCCTTTTGAAAGTCCGTATAAATAGTATCTACTTGGGAGCCTTGATCAAGAGCTCTTACAAGATAATTATGATATAATAATAAATTAGTTTGAATCGAATGTTTTGGTACAAATCCATGTTGAGAAAAGCTTATATTATTACACAATAAATTTGATAATTTTTTTGAGATAATAGCTTCAAACATTTTTGGCAAAATTGACATTTTCGAAACTGGCCTATAATTTTTCACATTTTGTTTATCACCTGATTTATAAATGGGAGAAATGAAAGATTTTTTCCAACAAAGAGGAAATGTTCCACTGGATAGAGACAAATTAAATAAATGATGTAAAGGTTTAACTAGAGTTTTACAACACATTTTCAAAAAAATTGTAGAAATTCCATCGGGCCCAATACTTGCCTTGTCGTTAAGTGAACCAATAAAATCTATAATTTCGTATTCATAAATAATAAATGAATTTAAATTAAAATTATGAAACTGATTATAAAATAAATCATTATTACAATCGTCTATATTATTAGTTGTGTTAGTTGTGTATACTGATGAAAAATATTTGGCAAACAACCTAATGGTATCATCCATATTATTCGCAGAAATATTGTCCAAAAATACTGAAAGAGGAATATTAGAACGATTAGATCTCAAAGATTTAATATAATTCCAAAACGACTTCGGGTTGATATTAATATTATTTTCAATTTTTAACAAATGATTTGCTTGAATTCGAGAAGACAATTTTTTACAATTACTACGTAAGTTAGAAAAAAATATGTAATCTGAATGTGAATTAGTAAGTTTATATTTTTTATGAGCCTGTTTTTTTTGTTTAATTAAATTTCTCAAAATAGGATTGGACCGATATAAACTATGCGTATCATAATGATTTAATTTAATTTTAGGAACAAACATATCAAACGAATGGGATATAATTTCATTTAGTTTAAGAACCGCTAAATCGACATTGAGATTTATCAAATTAGACATTAGATCAATGCTATTGAGAAACAGATTAACATCATTATAATTACATGCATTAAAATTAAAAACAACTGGACATGATGTTTCGGAAAGAAATTCAGGTGTAGAAATGGATAAAATAAAATCCAATGGTGGGTGATAAGAATCAATTAACGGTGTGAGTGAACTACCTAGACGTATGCAATCTACGCAATTATTAGTCATAATTAAATCTAAGATATCAAACCGGTCATTAAGGATACTATTAACTTGTTTTAAATTCAAATAATTAATAAATGAACTAATTATAACATTCGAATTGGGATCATTAATTTGGGTATAATCAGTACAAGAGAAGCCAGAAACATTATAATCACCAATAATGAGTATATTAACTATTGAATGAACAAGAATAATATTTTCCACTAAATCACAATGTTTAATATATATATCTTTATGGGTATTGGGAGGAATATAAACACAGCCTAGCAATAATTTAACATTATTATAATTAACTAATACAAATACCTGATCAATACCGCCAATATCATCAATTACAATACGCCTGCATTCCAAATTATCTCTGATGGCCAACAACACACCACCTCCTCTACAAACATGAGTACCAATTCTATCAGCTCTAAAAATATTAAAATTAACAATACCAAGTTCAACATTGTTAATAGTATCATTTAACCAAGTTTCGGATAAAAATAATAAATCACAGTTTAAATTATTAACAGAATTACGAAAAAATTGAAGTTTCGTCCTGAGACCTCTTACATTTTGATATATAACATTTATTTTAAAAAATTTTGAGATTGTTGAGGTTGAGAATGAGTAGAGATGACTTCCGATTTTTTAACAATATTTGGGACACCATTAACGAACTTGATCGTTAAATCCATTTCACCTTTTGAAGTTCGTTGATTTAATTCCTCGCGTAATTTCTTCATAGTCTCTCTTTGATACAGGGTCCGATCAGTACTTATATTAATCGATGAAAGTGATGAATTGCATTGTGATAACTTGCGTTTATTCTTAATAATGTCAAATACATCAGACTTAGAATCAAAGATGACTTTAATTGGACGTGGTTTTCCCGCTTGCGAACGACCGATATGAATAACTTTCTTAGGAATAATAGATGTTTCAACCAAAATAGTTTTAATGACGTTATTTATTTGTACCAGGTCAAATGAAATACGATCATCCAACCGGTTAGAATCACATTCTTCAATATTATAGAATAATAAATTATTAGCGCAGCGATTACGCTCATTAATTTCATTAAAAATAAATTCATTAGAAAAATGTACAGATGACGTATAACCGGAATCAGAATTAAAATTCATATTTTTCAAATTTTCCACTTCAACTAGTAATTTTTTTATCAACAGCTTCAATTCCGGTAATTCTTTAAGATCTTGATCACAGCTATCACAAAAATATTTAAGAGACCTATTTTTTAAAGAAAGACACTTAACTTCAGTTGCAGAGAGTCCCGTACATTTAGAATGAGCAGATAGAGTACAACTATCGCATTTGATAGGAATATCCAGTTCTGCGAATTGAATATTACAAATATTACAAACAACTCCAGTCATGATGAAAATAATTAGAAACAATTTAAATATTACAAAGAGTGAATTTGATAAATTAGAAAAAGATAACGCACAGAGTAAAGTACAGCACGACCATACAGCTCAACAGTCTAATGACAACTGTTATGTTTAGTTTCTATCTTCCTAATCATATTTAAATTCATATAACTTTAGGTATTAACACTATTATTATGTAAAATTATGACGACTTAAAACTAGTTATAGCAGGGATTAAATCAAAAATAATATTACCGTTTTCCGTTATATGGACATTAAATGTAAAATTATATATCAGATGCAATGTTTTATTTGAAAAATTAATCCAGGTTGGATAGTTACTGTCAGTGTTGAGATTATCTAGATAAATTTATCTAGATAATAAATTACTTTATTTTATCTTATCTAGATAAATATTTTCTAAGTTATCTAATGCTTATCTGAGATAAAATAAAAACGTATCTAGATAAATTCATCTAAGATAAACATTTGATCAAAAGTTTAAACATCCGTGAACAGTATTTTGAACTGTCATGTAATAATTAAAATTAATAAAACTATTCTGGAAGAACGTTCTTTTAATAGAATTCATAACAGTTATAATAAAATTTAAAGAAAAAAACATTTTATAAATAAATGAGAATATTTCAACGAAATGTCTAAATATAGATTTGTTGACAACGCTGCGCGCCGCGCCACCCCTATGTCAATATTGTACTATGCGACGGTGGCGGCGGCCAGAGTTGACGGCGGGAAGGTTTAGTGGTGGGAATGCGCGAGATCGGACGAATTTTGGTCGCCGCCCAAAAGTACTCTCTCGTTGGCTGGAGTATACACGGGCTTATACTTTAATAATATACTGTTTAGTCGAATTAAGTAGTGTGTATGTTTTCGGTTTATTTGGTAACTGCTAAGTAACAATTTATATTAAGTATTTACTAATCACTAATCAGTAATCACTAGCTATTTCACTGTCCTCAAAAACTATAATATTATGGTCATACTAGGACTTACTTATACCTGCTATCTATTAGAATATTATAATTTATAAACTATTAAAAACTGCTCATCCAGTCATCTTATTATTAGGTATTTTATACTAAAATCAAACAATTTTAACAAATTTCGAAGTTCACAGTAAGTATTGACATCAAAGTTATAATTACCGATAACTATAATATTATACATGTGTTTTTTTTTTCTAATAATTAAGTATTCAGATGTCAAAAATGGATAAATTTATTATCAAAAACAAAAAAAGAAATCACAAAGAAATCACAAAGAAATAGAAGAAAGTGAGGATAATCTTTCAAATGCTCAAGCTCACAGCTGAACCAAAATTGAAATATTTATTTGATGAATTTTATAAACTTGTTTCCATCAATGGTTCAAAATTAACAGCATTGTGCCAAAATTGCCCAAAAGTTGTTAGTGGATCCACAAATTCTACTGGAAACTTGTTGAGCCATATTAAAGTGAGTTTTTAGTATAATAATATGTACCTACATATTTCTATTTTTTAAATTTTCTTTTAATTAAAAATAACCATTTATTAGTTATTACTTATTACTATTTATAATTATCTGCTACATATAGTAAATACCTACCAATTTTATGGTTTATCTACTAAAGTATGAGTTATAGTCTATGGCTATTATAGTGATTTAGTTACATTTTACTGATGTTATTTTAATCTAATATATAATAATAAACAAATATAGTATCAAAAACAGAGACAAAAAATAAAATAAATGAAAAGTATCATGCCTGATTACAATTTACAAATACATAGATTGACCTATTCAGTGGTGCATATACCATATACAAACCACAATCGCTATACCTTTAAAGATTTTATTGGGGTGGGTGTCCATGCCTATGTAAATTATTAAAAAATATAAGTTATTTATTAACTGAATGGAATCAATTAAGTAATTTAATAACTTTTGGTAGGTGGGTAAAACTATGTCTTGCTTACCTGAAATGTATATCTTGTGGGCCACTGATTATATAAATATATATTTTATATAGCTTACAAATATTTTACAGTTCACATAATAGTATAATAATACTTTGGTATTATAGATTGTAAATTGTAATATTAGTAGTATCATTGATTAAATACAAAACAAAATAAGGAAATCGCCACATGAGAAATTGAGTGAATATCCAATGTTGTAAAAATTAAAATTTCACACGCTCATAAAAATTTAATTTGACTTTCTTATAGAATTTTTTTTTTATAAATGTAGGAAATCTTATAAGGAATCTTGTATTACATTTTTATATCTTAGATTTAAAAAGAAAAATTTTTATGAATTTGTAACTTGAAATAATTTGCAAATTTTCGTGATTTTTCCATATTTTGTCATTTTTTGAAGTTTAATGCTTAAAAAAAAAAACTGTGACTAACGATTTTTAATATTTTTCATCTGTCTTTGAAACAATATAGTAGGAGCCTTGTATTAAATTTTACCAAGTATTTTTACTCAACAAATAAATTTTTATTGATATTCATAAAAAAAAAACTAATAAAATTGGAAACTGAAAATGCCCTAAACAGTTCAAAATAAATCAAAATATTTTGAAAATGTTATCGTGTATAGAAAATGTAAATATAAAAAACCAGTGAAAATTTCATGTATCTACCGTGATTCGTTTTAAAGTTACACCAAAAACCAAAACCGATTTTCTCGAAAACAGATATTGCGTAAAAATTCCCGTTTTTTCTTAATTTTTCTTTTGTTTTTCCCGGCACTTTTGAAAACTACTGGGAAATTTAAATTTTGACCTAATCAATGCACCTACGATATTCACTTTCCAATCGAACAAGATACTGAAGTTGAAAATCAAAGCATTATTTCGACTACTTATCGTGTACACAGACACAAAAAAAATAAAAAATAAAAAAACACATATCATTGTAAAATCAATACATTCATCATTCCACTCAGAATCTAAAAAAAATATATTTAGTTTAAAATTAAAAAAAGGTGGGTAAGTGGATGTCGCTCTGCTGTACAGTAAGTTACAAGTGGGTCCTATATAATGGATGCTGTTAAATTTGAATTCAATGATATAATATCATTGTATAAGAAAAACGATTCTGAGCGAAGACGGTATGTCAGTCTAGGTTTAAGACAAATTATATACATATCTATGGTATTAAAAAAAAAATTGACCTATAATAAATTCCAAATTAATCATATCACATTATCACAATATCCAGTGGCGCCGAACTAAATTTTATTTGGAGGGGCAGTAGAATCCAAAAAGTACCTACCCACCCAAGCAATTTAAACAGAGCCGTGGGGGGCTTCGCCCCCCACACCCCCTACCTTTAAACCATAAGTAGAGAATTTATTATCAATAATAATTATTAAAAATGAGCATTTATAAAATTTTTTTATTGAATACCAAACAAATTAATTAAATATAAATTATACTTATATAATAATATGATTAAATTTAAATAATATAAATAACTCAATAATAGAATTATTAAAATATACATTACAATAATAATTTTGACAATTCTGTACTACATGATGCAAAACGTTTGATGATAGTGTCTACATCAATTGGAATATCACATTCACAAGACATCATCAAAAGTGCTTCAAGCCTGTCCTCACTCATTGTACTTCGAAGCCTTGTTTTCACCAGTTTTAATTTTGAGAACGTTCTTTCAGGAGAAACACTTGATATAGGGAGAGTCAGTGCAATACTTAAAGCAGTGTATAAAGCAGGGAATGTTTCTTTCAAACCTGCCTCATTGCATATCTTATACATCATGTGAATAGTACCTTCACTATTAGGAGTTTCCAATGAATCATCATCAGTAAATTCTTCTACTTCACTTTCAGTACCACTGGCTTCAAATTCATAATTTTTAATCTGTGTATTATTTTGTTGGTGTAATGTTTTTGGCAACGACAATGTTTTTTCTAACTCTAAATATACATTTGCAAATTGCATATATTCTCTTCTCAAGTCTTCAGCAAAAACAAACTTCCCATAAACTTGTTGAAATCCATTAAATGCGTCATTAGGCAAATTGGACGATTTTGTTATTTCTAGAAGTCTTTTTTTGTTAAAAAGTGATAAATCATTTATTAAAGGATTTGAATTGTTATTGAATCTTTCAAATATTTGAGAACTTATTATATCAATAACAGTAAAGTAAGTATTTATTTTAAAGTTGTTAATTGGACTTAAGTTTGGCAGTTCATCTGATGATGTCTCTCCTGGCATTTTTTTTTTCTTTCTCATACGGGTTTGTGTAAGTGGTATTATATCAAAGTCTACAACATTTGTATTAACAAATATTTCTTTTTCTTTCACTATTGCTTCAAATTGAGTATCATTTCTAAACAAGTTTATTTTCTTTTGTACACTTTTAACATAGGATACAGCTGATAACAAATCAATATTTTTCCCCTGCAAATATAAATTTAATGGACCTGTAATATCAAACATTTTTCTAAAGGTCAATGCAGTTAAAAAAAAACGTTCTGATATCAGATAATCAAATAAACTTTTTGCTTTAATACTACTCATGCGATCTGAAGATGTATCTTTATCTAAATATTCTAGTGTGTCCAAAATTGCATTAAATGTTGCAAATACTGTTTCAAGTGCAGAAGAGTGTGATGACCAGCGTGTTGTTTCTACTCTTTTGAGCCTTCTTAATTGTTTATTTGGATATCTTTCTTTTTGATAATTGGAGTACATGTTTACTCTTTTTTTACTACTACCAATAAAATCATATAATGCTTCAAGGTTACCAAATAAGTCTCTTGCTTCTGTGCAACTACTTACTGCATCTACATTAATTAAGCTTAGACGATGCGCATAGCACCAAACATACATAGCATATGGATTGTGCTCTTTTACTATTGCCTGTAAACCATTATACACACCTCTCATGGAAGCGGCTCCATCATAGGATTGCCCGACAAGGTAATTTTTCCAATCAAGATTCATTTCGTTAAATATTTCTTCAAGCATAGTAAAAAGATGTTGTCCTGTTGTAGTCGCAGTCTCTCTAACTGCCACGAGTCGCTCGTTTACTATACAGTCAACAGTGTTTTTATTAATATACCTTAATATGACAGATAACTGTTCTTTCCTAGAAACATCAAATGTTGTGTCTAGGGACACACTAAAAAATCTTGCTTCTAGAAGTTCTTTTTGTATGGTATCTTTAATGTGCATTGAAATTGATTTAATTAATTGATTTTGGCGTTGCCAAGACAAAAAGTTATGGATCTTTCTTCCTTTTAATTGTAGCTGAGTAACATAAGAAGACAATGCGGGGGAGTACTTAGTCAATAATACCACTAAATCTTTAAAATTACCCATAAGTTGTTCATTCCATCCCTCTTTATGACCACGAAACGGTAAGCAATGTCTACCGAGGTATAAAGTTATGTCGATTAAGTGACGTACAATTTCTTTGTTTAATACTTTATCCAAGTTATTTTTTTCATCTATTGATTGTATAATTGGAAATGATGCTTCTCTGTATGCTACTTTTATAGAAGACATTATGTGAGCTTCTGATGTTTCATGAATAATGACTTTTGGTAATCCGTTTTTCCAATTATTGAAACCTTCGCGAGACCAATTTATTTTAATATTCTTCCCAAATAATGCACAATGAAGACAGTATAGTTTGTTTTCAGTTTTTGAATATGTCATCCATTTTCTTCGTATAATTTCGCCACTGGGCAATTTTTTCCAATACCAGCTGTCGTGAAAAGATCTACCAAGTGAGTCCTTTTTAAAACATTTATTTGGCATTTCATGTGCTGTTGGTTGTGACGGTCCAAGTTTGAAAAAATGATCAATTATTTCAGTGCTTAAATCTTGTACATAGCTAAATATAGCAGGATCATTGCCAAAATCCAACACTAAAACACAATCAACCCAATATATTAAAACTTAAATGTTGTTATCATTAAACAAAAGCTTTATAGTATCAAGTATAATAATTTATTGGATATTTAGTCCTAAATACATCATACGAATAAGAATTAAATAAATCAATAAATATAATTTTATCCAATTTATTAGTCCCCACAAATAATAAATTAATTACCTGTTTTTTCTTGTACTACAACATTACTCAGTACTTTTGAATTTTCTAGGGAATTTTCACTGGTTACACCACTCTGATCAACTAAACATTTATAAATACATTAAATTAAATAAATCAATAAAAATAATTTTATCCAATTTATTAGTCCCCACAAATAATAAATTAATTACCTGTTTTTTCTTGTACTTCAACATTACTCAGTACTTTTGAATTTTCTAGGGAATTTTCACTGGTTACACCACTCTGATCAACTAAACATTTATAAATACATTAAATTAAATAAATCAATAAAAATAATTTTATCCAATTTATTAGTCCCCACAAATAATAAATTAATTACCTGTTTTTTCTTGTACTTCAACATTACTCAGTACTTTTGAATTTTCTAGGGAATTTTCACTGGTTACACCACTCTGATCAACTAAACATTTATAAATACATTAAATTAAATAAATCAATAAAAATAATTTTATCCAATTTATTAGTCCCCACAAATAATAAATAAAATACCTGTTTTTTCTTGTACTACAACATTACTCAGAATTTTAGGATTTTCACTGGTTACACCACTCTGATCAACTAAACATTTATAAATACATTAAATTAAATAAATCAATAAAAATAATTTCATCCAATTTATTAGTCCACACTGGTTACACCACAAAATACTGTACAAATTTACAAATTTGGTAAATCAAAATACTAGACGTTGTATATCAACAATTACAATTTAATAATATCATATATTTACTAATTAAATATAATAAAAAATATACATACCTTTTGTACTTGTAGTAGTAAAAAACTGCTTAATATTAAAACTACTATTAGTTTTAATTTTTTTATTTTTACAAGCTTGTAAATGTCGATTCCAATTAGTTGGATTTAGACTTCCTCTATCTTTACGACAAAAGCCACAAAAGCGTGAGTCCATAATAAAGTATTATAATTTCAAATATTTCAATGCACCACGACGATAAAAAATTATAAAAATAATAATAAATAACAATTTTGCATTCACTCAACCGAATCGCATACACCGCCTGCCGCCTGGCACAGGCAAACAGCACACTAGAGGGAGACCTGTCTGGTTATTGGTTAAGCCACTAAGTCACACTTTATTTGATTTTGTGTAAAATACGGGTTTAAACTGTATAATATTGTATAATATTCGTAGTAGTCATATCGACATATCGTCGTAGTCTATGATAATCAATATCTGTTTATTTATAGCATTATTTGTTTGGTGATTTTAATACAGTTGTTAATTTACTGATAACGCCAAAGACCCGATGTCTTAACGTGCGGCCCGCAATATTATATTTATTTTTGTCTTGCTTGTAACAATTCAAAATAACATAATATTGGAAAATTAATTTATTTTTTGCTATACTAATAGTTAACGCACTAAGGTCACTGCGCTGCCGTCTATTGGCATATTAAATATTAATCAAAAATTGAACCATTAAACAAATAATTGAAAAAAAAATAAAAGTACCTAATTATTTATAATATTCATATTTATATTATACTATATTAGGTGAATAATAATTGTGATCGTTGACAGTGTTAGTACAATATTAATACTTAGAAAAATCTACAGCAGTGCATATGGCTAGCGAGTTGTGGTATTTTGCTCATAGGCGATGAGGCTATCCAGGGGAGCAATACAAATTACAAGTTACAAGCTTAATTAATTTTGTATTGAGAACTTATGTACCAATACATTTTTTTTATGTTAGGGGAGGGGCATCTGTCACTTTCTTTTTACAAGTAGGCGCCGGGCGTTTAAGATAAAATGTTTGGGAATCACTGTCATAGACAGACGCGGGACGCTAGTCTCGAAGAATTGAAAAACCATGTCTTATGATAAAGATTTTATTTTTATACAAACTACTACCTAAACCTAAGTATTGGCTACAAATAAAAGTTAGAACAGTATCTACTATACGGGTAGAATAATAATCTGTGTACACATACACTTCATACTATACTAGGTATAGTATATCTAAAATACTGATGAACAGATGAACAATATTATTTTCAATCATAATACTTAAATTTTCTACACAGTAAACACCCACCTACCCACGACCCACCCACCCATTCAAAGAAGGTGGGCGATTGCCCCCCTTGATACACGGATTCGGCGCCACTGACAATATCCATTAGGTACTTATAACACGTTATACATCAACATCAATAACAAACCCTGATACTATCATAGATGTATAATAGTACACTTTAAAAGTTTCAAGTAGGTACCCACGAACAATATTATATAATCACAACAAAATAACTAGGTTTTTTAATATGTAATTTCGTCCAAATTTGAACATAAAATGAATATAAAAATAAACTGTGATTGTTTATTTTTTAGATTTTTCGGTAAGAGAATTAACTACTTACGTGGAATCCTGTTTTAAATTGTCAATCCTTAACTATAAAAACTGAACATTTTATAACTTATTAATTACGATGATTAATAAATTTCAAGATTTTGAAAAATTCTGTCAAAATTCTATGTTTAAATGCTTATAAAAAAAAATTGTGCCTATGTATTTTTAATATTTTTCAACTGATATTGTAACAATATATCAGGAGCCTTGTATTACACTTTTACACTTTTTGGCCCAACAGATAAAACTTTATTGATATTCATAGAAAAAAAAACTAAAAAAATTGAAAAATGAAAATATCCGTAAACAGCTCAAAAAGAGTCAAAATATTTTTAAAATTGTATGGTGTATAGGAAATGCTAATATAAACATTCAGTGAAATTTTCATGTATCTATAGTAATTCATTTATGAATAACAACAAAATAAGGAAATCGCTACATGAGATATCGAGTGAACATCCAATATTGTAAAAATTTGACTTTCAAACGCTCATAAAAATTTAATTTGACCGTCCGGTAGAGATTTTTTTTATTGATAAAGGTAGACAAACTTATGAGTAATCTTGTATAACATTTTCAAATCTTTTCAAATTTTTACGAATTCTTAACTCAAAATAATTTGCTAATTTTCGTGATTTTTCCATATTTTGTCAATTTTTGAACTTTAAATGCTTATAAAAAAAAACTGTGACTAACGATTTTTAATATTTTTCATCTGCCTTTCAAACCATATACTAGGAGCCTTCTATTAAATTTTCAAGTTTTTTTAACCAACAAATAAAATTTTATCGATATTTCTAGAAAATAAACTAAAAAAAAATGAAAAATGAAAATGTCCCTAAAGAGTTCAAAATAAATCAAAATATTTTGAAAATGTTATCCTGTATAGAAAATGCAAATATAAACAACCAGTGAAAATTGCATGTATCTACAGTTATTTGTTTTAAAGTTACACCAAAAACCGAATTCAATTTTCTGAAAAATCGATTTTGCGTAAAAATTCCCGTTTTTCCTTATTTTTTCTTTTGTTTTTCTTGGCGCTTTTGAAAAGAACTAGGAATTTAAAATTTTGACCTCCCCAATGCACCAACGATATTCACTTTCCAATTTAACAAGATACTGAAGTCGAAAATCGAAGCATTATTTCGACTACTTATCGTGTACACAGACACAAAAAAAATAAATAAACACACATCATTGTAAAATCAATACATTCATCGTTTCACTCAGAATCTAAAAAACATTACCTATATTAGAATTAACTAGATACCATTTTATTAAGACTAATAAAGTAATAATATATAAATTATAATAATAAAGTTTATTCAAATATATTAAATTGTTTATTTAACCTATTGCCGGAAGTTTAGTTTACATCACAAGCTATGCAGATTGCAGATGGATTTAATAGATGGGATGGTTTTTTAAAAATATTATTATATATAAACCTATGTTTATGCTATTTTTCTTAAAACCCTATTCTAATGTGAAGCACTGAAATATGACTAATGTTGATTTATCTAATATTGTTTAATACTATACTTGACATCATTTGATACCAATATATATAATGTATTAAGTATTATTTTGTTTTCAGATCAGTGAATTAGTGTTTAATTATATAGTAGATGAAATGCGGCCTTTGGTCACTTGTGAAAAAAAGAGTTTTTGAAATTTACTATTAGGATTAACTGGATTAAATGATTCATCTATTCTTCCTAACAGAAAGCACATGTCAAAACAGTTAGCAGTAACATAATATAAAGCATATGTGGATATGTTAACAACTCAAATTGAAACCCATAATTATATTTGCTTAACAGCAGATATTTGGAGCTCAAACAACAAGAGTTATATGGGTAATTGTAACTATAATAAAGAATAATTTAAAAATAAAATAATAAAAATATGGCTTATTGTGTTTCAGGGATGACATGTCATTTCATTGAAGATACATATGATAGAAAGTCATATGTTCTTGGCTGTCAACGAGTTAAAGGAGCTCATAATTATTTAAATATTATGGAAGTATTAACAGAAATGATGGATAAATTCAAAATAGATGTATCCAAAGTTACACACATTGTAACAGATAACGCTAGTAACTTTGGAAAATCGTTCAAAGTATTCTCTTCATCGTCATTACCTGAAATACAGCAAACAAGTTTGCAATGCACAGGCAATTTTCATGAAGAAGATGATTTAAGTAGCTGTAGCTCAGACAATGCAATGGACAGTGAAGATTCAGACATAGAAATAGTCGAAATGGATTCAATGTTTTCAAATACAAAAAATATTGAGAAAGACAATGACAAAATGTGTTTACCACAATATATGAGATGTTGCGCTCATACGCTAAGCTTAATTGCAACATGTGATGTTTCAAAAATTACAGATGCCAACTACGTTAAAGTTTCAAAATCTACATTTAATAAATTGTTGTATTGTAATTTGTAACAAATTTTAACAAAATTTACATTTTCTGAATAGGTATAAAGATTTTATAACATTGAATTTAAACCTTTTTATTTAGGTATTATTTTTTATTAACTATCTCTTTATAGATTAAGCCACATGTTTAAAAAAAATTATAATAAAAATAAAAATTGCATTGTAAATTTAATTTATACCTTTCTTCTAATAATTGATGATCATTGTGATAGCCTGATTCATTGATGAATTCTTCTTTAATAGTTTGATCATCAATATTCTCCAGTTTAATAATTCTGTTTAATACTTCTTTTTTTGATCTAAATGGTTCCATATTGTCTTCCTTACTGTTGGTTTTTCTAATAGGTGCTGTGAACACAAATCATTACAATTAGGTGAATTTTATGATTTTTAGGGAGTGTACCTATTTGCACATATTTTTTTCCAAAACATTTTCATTGGAAATCCATAAATAAAATTAAATCTGTGATATGTATTTAAAATCAAATATTGAGTTAGTATTTAGTACTTAATATTTTTTATACATTTTAAATACATTTCACAATTTTCCTACAATTTACCAATAACAAATATAATATAATGTATAGTAAAAAATATTATTCACAATTACATATATTATGCTATACATATCTTTTCTGTTACTTAGCTATCTTAGCTCTTTTATTTACATAATATGTCCCCAGAATACTGGGCCATATCAACATATTCAGTGTAATTTTTTCACACTTCTTATATCAAATTAATTGCTATCAAAAAACAAAAAGTTGTATGCAATATAGTTATGAAGAAATATGTTGTTCTGAGAAATGTACAATAGAGTAGGTACAAAAGTGTAAAAAGAGATTATAGCTATGCAATAAATCATTTTGTGTATAACTGTTAATAGTACGTCACAAACACTTGTGTTGACTTTTGTATAGCTCTTGTATTACAAGTATATAACAAGTCAACTCTGGCTACCGCAACCATCTTTGCTACAACTATATGGTAGTGTAGGAGAAATTTGGGTACAAAAACGCGGAGCTCGGTCTTTTGAATACGCCAACGAGTAGCGCTTTCTCAATGCCACTAGTATAATAAAAATAAATTGAAGTAAATATTATCATATACAATAACATATAATATAGGAACAGTTAAGGCTCTGCCAAACAGAAAGTGTTATTTTAACATCCCGTGATTTTGCAATTAGTTACAGTACGGCGTTATTCGTGTACGCGAAGCACCACACCAACAATCCATTTACAGCTTTACCTTGTTCTGTTTGACAGAGCCTTTAACGTCAAATACAAATACAATAATTATTAATTTAACCACATTTTTCTTATCAACTTTTAAATAGGTATAATAGGTATACTTGTTGACGACGATGGGATGATTGTTTTCGGCTAAAGAAAAAAGTAACAAAATGTTAAGATAGAGACAGAGGACGATCACAATCAGACGTAGAAGTGTCCTTTGTCGTATTCAGTGGACTGTATTTACAAGGCTGTTATAAGTTATAACAACATATTGTTACATACATTGATCCGTAATCCTAAAGGGGAGGGGGGAGAAAGTCAAGCAGTGAATAAACTCTACACCCGACATCGGACTTACAAAGGTTAGTAGTACGCTTTTTGTTCATAAAATATTTACCCATAAAATTAATTGTCTATCTCATACGACTTCGTGGCCTGTTGACATCGGCGAGTGACGGCGAAGGCGCACACACGTAAATCGGCAATGATACAATATTATATACGAGTGGCACTCGAAAACACGCGATTATGGGGGGCAGCGGTGGCGCACGGCTGTAATATTACAAAAAATAAATTTAAAAGAACACAACACGATGTCCTTATAAAAAACGAACGATGTTAGTGCGGCTTGTTGGTTTTACAGCTAAAGATTGCAACGGCGACGGACGCGGTCACAGCATGATACGCAACCGAATCCGCCTCTTGTCAGCGTTATTATTATCAGTATCACGAAATCATAGCAGTAACCTTATCACGTAATCGGTTGATACTGTGGAGGTTTCGCCGTTATCACGGTTGTCCTCCAACGTTCTCGCGAGTAAGTAGGTACTCGAGCGGAGTTCTTATGAAAAGATGTTTAACTTTCAAGGTGTGTTTATTAACATGTGCAAATAATATGTAAAGCTTACAATTAAAAGTGATCGGTGATCAAGACGTGAACGGTTGGTCACGCGGTTTACGAGTCGTTTCGTTGAATATGGCAGAAAATGGCGTGAGTACTAGAAAATCGACGGGATACGTGTCGGTTGACGGTTAAAAAGAAACAGGCCGAGCGTCGGTCGCCGCCGCGGCCTGGAGGCCGGCTCTCCGTAAAAAACTGTAAAATTTGGTTCTCTTCAAGGTAAGTATTTGAAAAATGTATTATTATAGTAAAAATGTGTGTCTGTCCTACCTAAGATCCATCCCAGAAGTGTCCTTGCCGGAATGAGCAGCATAAAATCGAGGAATTGATTATATCCACGGCGATCAATGTGTAATCCATTGATTTTAAAGCTTTTTGTTGCTAATCAATTTGATATGAAAATTTGTTTTAAAAATTTCTTGGAGAGTTTCTATCTTAAACTAGGTAAGTAGGTATTATAAAAGTTAATAAATTGTGTAGTAACTGTTGAACTTGAACTAGTGTCACTAAATTGCTCCCCTTATCAAATTTTTTTTAATCCCAAACCGTGGCATATACTGTAACAATTTATTTCAATTATTAACCAAATTCATTTTTTAAACGTAGGTCGAAGGTTGAAATTCTAATATAGCAATATATAATAATAATAATATGTAAAATACATTTATATATCATTGACATTATTTAAACCTAAACCTCGAATATATTTAAGTATAAATACATTAAGTCGTTAATACATAACATTCAATATTTAATGAATATAAACACATTGTTCAAGGAAATATTGTCACTGAAAACTCATAATGAAACTTTGTTAGAGAGTTCAAATGCGATTGATATCCAAAATGTAGAAATGGTTATTTCAGAACATGATTTAAATTTGTTCAATAACAAACAATCACCTCTAAATATTTAAATGATGAATTTTCCTCTTCGCAATTATTTTTGCAAGGTACAAGTTAAGATTAGAAATAAACGGATTTAAAAATCAACAAATTATTGTTTACCAATTTGGCTAAAGGATACATAGGTAGTATTATAATCATATTAATTCATATTGTCTGAAAATTATAGATATGCTTCGGAACAATTCTAGTTCAGCTCCCACGCGAATTTTTGCACGGAAAAAAATAACTTAATTGTATACAACAAAACAGTTGTGTTAATGGTTTTATGGTTGTTACAGCCAAAACATACGTATCACAACCAGAAATGTTGTGATTTTTAAAGAAGTGTACTGGAGTTTTCACAGTAATAATTTTGTTAACAAATGTTATGTAAATTTAACATGCTTCATATTTAAAATTAGCAAATGTACTGTAACAGATGCAATGTTAAAAAAACTACCAAAAGTTTGAGTAATCAGGAAAAAACATTCTTGTATTTTCTACCAAATTTTCATTAAATGTAATGTAAAAATGTTGCTATAATTACTAGACATAAATGGCATTAAATATGATGTATATATTGTACATTAATTAGATGTTATTCTAATATTACCAAACCTTTCAGTAAATGGTACTATTGTTGGATAAAAATAACCGGTCGTTTGGTAAAACCTATCCAACAGTTTCACTGATATCACAATTGTATTGCTATTGCTGCAATCGATCTATAATCTCGCGGCGTCATCGTTTGGCATTATTCAACTGTAATTACTACGACCACAACTGCCATATTTTGTTATTACCTATTTATTTTCTAATGTTTGTACCTACAACTTTACTGCTGTAAAAATTGTAAAAATGGCCGATTCTGATGTCAAAGACATGCTGTCAGCTTGGGGATTGGAATCGTACATTGATGTATTCAAAGGTAAGACATTTTTTATACCTACCTACTTTATAGTAAATATAATAAGTAGCCGGTACCTATATTTACATAATAGCATTGAGTATTTACCTATAAATATTATATTATATAGTTGACCTACAAATATAATATATTATAATATTATGTACCTACTCAATGGTGATGTGTAGACTAAACATAAGTGTTACATAAGTGATTTTTAAACCTTAAGGCGTTAAATTATTCGTTGGTACTTATTTAATGGAAATGTACATACGTACACAAATAGATCTATCCAGCTTATAATAATTGAGAATGGTTAATTGCTATTGCTTATTTACTTTTGATTTTATATATTATTGTCAGAACATGAAATAGATTTATCGGGCTTTTCACTTCTTATGAATGATATGCTAAAAGATGTTATGCCTATGGTTGGTCATAGGGCTAAGTTTAGGGCAAATTTAGAGGAGTGGCGTAAGGTACTTGCCCTAGCTAATAATCAGGTGTCAGTTATGGTAAGAACTACATATTTACTTATTTTCCAGTTCCAATAAATTACATGTAAATAATTCCTAGATAGGTAATTAAAAACTTAAATTCTGTAGGTAGGTGCCTGTTATAAATTGTGATGTTTGTAATAATTTATTATCTTTTAATTTAACAATTATTTTGTATAGCTATGCTTTTATTATAACATTATATTTTATTTATGGATGCAGTGGCAGCGTGACAAGGGTTCTATGAGACCCGTGTCTCATGGCGATTGTCCGGACATTTGTCATTTATTATTTTTAAATTTTAAAAAATTATTTGAATGTACAATCAACCATTAAAGAGACATTAATATACCATCAGCTTAACAATCTAGTATTTATTTCAAATGTCTCACTTAAATGATTAAAATTAATGTTCCATAGTATGCAGACTAAAGTTAACTTATTATTTTTTATTTCAGAAAAGTATATTTTCTATAATTTTTTTTTAATTTTTTTTTTTCTATAATTTTCTATTTTCTATATTTTATCTGAACCGAGTATACTCTATCTATCCCACTTTATCATAGTGTGTATTAG